TATCATTTGCTGAAAAACTATTGAGTTTATTTTTATTTTCTGGTATTGGAAATCAAACTTAGGATGTTGTACTTGCCAGGCTGATGCTTGTGCTGCTGAGCTACTACATCCCGGGCCTAAAGCTTAAGCTATGTCCTCTCCAAGCTACCTGCCTCTGCCCCCCACCCATCTAGTCCTTTCTCCAGGCATTGTAAGCCTCACTCCATAGGTATTCCAAGAATCCATTTTATTCTTCCCATCCTTCAGCGAGGGTTTGCAGTGTCTTCCCTTTTGGTACTTACAGTGTAACACTTACCACACCTGCCTTCTAGGATAGGTAGTTGTACAGCTATGCTGTGTTACCCAATTTTGCATCTCTAAAGATGGCTTTCACTTCATAGGCACTCAATATGTACTACAGTGAACCTGACAAGTACACAAGGCAAGAGCAGCATTTTCAACTCTTAATCAGAATGCTAACATTACGTGAACTTCTAAGGGTACATATGCACGCATTCAGCTGAAGAAGGAACACAGTCACTGAAACCAATTTTACTAGTGTGTCGGAGATGAATTTGTCACATAAAAGTTTTTTCCAACTTCTCTACCCTTTCCAGGCAAGGGCTTAAAGCTGGTTTTCAATCTTCTGTACTTCCTAATTCTAACAGTCACTGTAATTTGGGAATGGGAGTTAAACAGTGTTAAGAATTCCAAATCATATTTTATAGTTTTAACCAGCAGGTGAATAAAAGCATGGACACTCTCGTATAGGCAGAAACAGTACGGCCGTCTACAAGCCCTTACAAATGACTGGGCAGGACCCTGCTGCTGAGTGCACTGCTGCTTCCTTAAGAGCAGCCTTATAGAAAGGAGCAGAAGCCTGAAGGGCAGTGGCACAACAGAAACACACCAACCCGCTCCTGGGAGGACAAGCAAACAGGCGCCATAGCAGGAGCACGGTGTGGGAAGAGGACTGTTCCTAGGAGGGGAGGACTTAGAGAGTCACTAATATAAACAATGCTACAGAAGACACATATTGAAAGCATACCAACAGCATACATTAAGACTCCACACAATGTGTTAAGCATGTCTTACAAGTGATTTTATTTAAACTGCCAAGACAGCTTAAGAAGAGATAGTGATGATGACAACCGTGGTGAAGTGGTAGCAGGGATAAAAGTACCCTCCATCAAGATTTGAAACTGGCTCGGCTAACGCTACACACTTTCTAAGAGGCTGGGATTCAAATCTAAAAGGTATGGTGCCAGAACTAGGATCTTAACTCTAGTTCCTATTACTTTGTGTATTATGTTAGGTTAAATTAGAAAGTAGTGAATTATTTATACTGTCAAGGGATATCAGCATAGCCAAAACTCATCATGTGATACTCCAACTGCAAACAAGAATTTATGTTCATGATATTCATTTGGGGAATTTCTACAATTAACTATTTGGTGATTATTATATGCTCAACCAAGAAGTTGGCCTGTTACACAAATCCCTAATCTGTGGTGTGAGGAGCTATCAGCAACATTATAATCATTGCTCCAGCTACGAGAACACCTGTCAGGCATGTCAAAGGACAGGAGCCAGAACTGGCCAAGGCGCTGTGATCCTACCACAGTAGGCATGGGCTTGGGCTGAGTTAACATTCACTGAGTTTTGCAGTGACTCTACATTTCATACAAATTCCTCCCTGCCCTATTGGTGGCATTATTAACAGTGTGCATTTCCTGCCCCATCCCCTAAAAGACATGAACACAAGACAAAAAACTGGAGGATTTAAGAGGATAACTGTCAATAGCCAGACACAATGCAGCACGCATAGCTTTGCCAACATGCAGCATTCTATAAAGTTCTGACTTTATACAATTAATTTGCTTTGAAATTCTATTTATTTTAAGTATTTAAAGGCATTCTGTGAAAGGGGACTCCCAGGCTTCACCAGGTTGAACAATGGACTTGAGGGACACAAAACCTAAATGTGTCCCTGTTAACAATGAAGTCAGCAAGGAAAGCCAAGTTGTAGCAGTTACAAACCAGTCACTCCTCCTTTCTCCTAAGAAAGACCCGGGATCCCAGGAGTACAACTGCCATCAGCAGAGTTATTACTGTGGGTATTCAAAAGCTATAGCCCTCGTAAGACTCAGATTAACTAATGGTGACTGCTCTGTAACAGAACCAACACAATGAGGCCTAACTCACTCAGATCAATCAGAGCTTACACTCTAACACATGTGAAACATGTAAAGCTCCTGAGTTAAAGCACTCCTAGGAATTTTTATCTTGTTTGATTAGGTCTTATAGATATTTCAATATAATTACCTATTCCTTCAAGATAATAAAACAAAAAGAACAGCCAGGCATGATGGTACACACCTGTAATTTTAGCACTGAGAAGGCTGAGGTAGGAGAACTGTCAGTTCTAGGACAGCCGGACTACAAAGTGAGTTCAAGATCAAGTATTCTCACTCCAACATGTGAATAGTTAGCAAAAATCAGCTAATTTGTCCTCATTTGTATCCAAAAATGGTGCAAAAATAACCAAATGTGGATATATCAAGACGGAAATAAATCCAAAAGTAATTCACATTTTTAGAGAATACATGTTAACATCATAGTAAATATTAAAGTGTCTGACATTCTGAGAACTGACATCCATATTAAATTTACACATACAAACACACACACACACACACACACACACACACACACACACAGAGAGGCAAGTAAGGACCATTTTCAGAATGTATCTACTGGGGAATGTTAGGATGTAAATTCTATTTGGCCCATATACAATTCAATTTTAAAATTGCTAAAAATGTGTTTGAGCTTTAGACTATAACATTTGTTATAATAATTCCTAGGTTGAACTTCACCATATAAAAAAGGGGGAGAGGCATGAACTTACATTGCAAAAGGCATCCACAGTGTATCAGCAACATTGACTGACAGCTGACATAAATGCATTTAAAGTAAAATATTTTAAGCACAAAGAAAAATCTCCTATTAAAAAAGATGTTTAAATACTGTCGGCATTCTTATGGTTCCTTTAAATACCCCTGGCTATTCCTAGAGGAGCTACTCCACTTTTTCCTGTTTTTTTTCTCATTTGAATCTTCACACCTATTTTAGTTATGCTTCCAATCTTGTAGGACCTGTAAGTTTTTCCAGAATCAGAGCACTAGGTTTATGGATGTATGATACGTTGCCTCAGAACACCAGGAACTGCACTGTACTCTGTGCTGGGTTTCTTTCTTCTCCTTTCCCTCCTCTTCCCCTGTTTGGAAAGGCATCTAAGTCATCCCTGGAAAGACGGGCGGATCCTTCAGGTACATGAAATCTTTGTTTTCTACAATGTCATTCATATTTTTGTCTTATTCTTCCAATTGGCATATGTAATGTTCAAAACGCTTATATTCAGAAGTTGGAATGGCCTGGGCTTTGAAATACTGTCTCAGTTTCATTGTTTTCAATTTATTTGTTGTTGTTGTTTTTATTTTTAAACTAAAGCTATATGAAACTCGTGGATTAAACAATAATTTCTAATTTTTGTCTTAAAAAGGAAAGTATTTCTCTGCAACCATCTTTCCACAATAATGTTCCTTGACTTAAGATCAAAGAAAGCAATTATATATAATGTCTGGTACCCAAATACAAGTTTAGATTATGAATGAAGTCACGGACACATAACAAAGACAAGCAAGAATTGGTCAATTTATCAGGTTAGTATTTATAATATTACATTTTATATTACCTAGTTGAGCTGGGTACAAAATGAGTAAATGCATTCCAATTCAAAACACAAAATGTTTTTATAAATTGGAAATAAATCTGACATACTTGGTTCCATTCTCAAAGATTGAAAGAGGCAAAGATGTTCCTTCTGTCAATATAGAAATCCTGTCTTCCAAGATTTTGTGGAAATCAAATCAGGATTTTGTAACATTAATGTTTTAACTTTCAATTCTTTAGAAAATGTTTACAGTGTAAAATTGAGTATTTTAAAATTTAACAAATATTTTAAGTGATAATTTTATTAGCATCTCAGGAGTATTTTCTATACTTTGCTACCAAAAATATAGTTTTTACCTAAAACTACGCATACTGAATTTTGTCAAGAAAAAATTCTTATAGTGTTGTTATAAAGGTCAGTTATAAGAAACAGGCAATATTTCATATGATGGGAAAGTTTAGTCGATGTTTTGTTTCTCTTTAAAACAATGATCTTGAATAAAAATGGGAATAACAGAGATTTAAAAAAAAAAAAAAAAAAAAAAAAAAAACCCTCTCCAGAATGTGTTAGAGGGTAAGAGAGTCTCAATATCTCAACTCATCGAAGTGTTTGGCATCCAGATTGATGCTGCTATGATACGAAACTAAACAGAGGATAAATATAGAGAATGAGGATTTGCCTAGTAGGATACTTAACAGATTTCTAATCTTTGATCTCACCAATTTTGAGGAGGTTAGTGATCCCCCAGCAAAAGGACCTAAACTATTATATGTCATGAAATGTGTGCAGGTTACTTAAATCTTCTCTAGATTTTGATCATTTTCTTAAAAATAGGTATTTCTAGCCAATCATTAAACATCTTAAACATCGAACAATGTATCACTAATTGTAGTACTAGTGCAGATTTTACAGTATAATTAGTAACCCAGTACCATGATAAAGTAATGAAGAAAAAAAAATCAATTTATAGCAAAAAAATTATAAGCTGCTACCTCAAAATATGATTTGATTTGATTTTATGTTGGTACTATAGCCAGAAATTCAAAATAGTTTTTAGTCGTATTAACAAATTGTGGGCAGTTTCACTTATTATTCAAGCTTTTATCATATTTTAATATTAAAAATGCAGCATAATTTTTGAAAATATCATGATGAACCCCCAATTTATTTTTCATTGTTTGTATTTGATAATCTAATGCTGCTATAGCAAATAAGGACAGATATATTCATGGTACACATATTTGAAGAAAATATAGTAATGTAAAATCACACAAGAACACACAAGTCATTTTTTTCCTACAGTTTAATTTTAACTAGTAAATTTTAAATGATGAATATAATGCAATTCAAGTCTTTGCTTATTTGCAATCCACAAACTTTTGTTTTGCAACTTGTGGGTGAAATACATTCTCACAGTTTTCACCCTTATATACTGTCTCTCTCTAATTTTTCCCCTTGAGTCCTTCTTCAGTAGTGTAACAAGTCACTTCTGGATTGGCTAAAGAGCAATCCTAGCACAGTAATGTTTCAACTTGCAAGGAAGCACACCCTTGTTGAGCTGATAGAACTCCACCAGCTGGATCAGGTCTGTGAATCGCGTGTGGCCGTCGTCCAGAGTGTGGAACGTCGCACCGTCATCTTCAACCTGCAGGGGAAAAGCAACAGCCTGGAGAAGGCAGCAGAGCAGCCAGGAGGACGTTCCGACTCACTGCACAAACTATGTCTCTATCTGCGAAAAGTGACACATGCATAAAACTAAACAGAGTGAAAAGAACACTGGAGCTTGCCCACTTCTGTTTTGCAATGTCAGTTGCATTTACAGAACGGTCTTTGGAGAAAGAATGTGGCATTAGTGTCTGTACTTCTTATTCTCCCAGTATTCTGTTTAGTTAGGACAGTACAGCTATTTGATTTGAATCAATCAACTGTAAGAAACCTGAACTACTCAATTTAAAAGCAAGCAAAAGAGTTTAATGCTCGCAATACAGAAATTAATTTCCATTTCTAAATATTGTCTAATGCCTGCCTCACTTGGTATATTAAAACTGAATATTCACATAATATGTATCAGCTAGCCGGTTCTAAAGTAATCAAATAATACGCTAATAGAATATAGCTGGGTTTCCCCCTTTTGTGGTGGTGGTGGGGGGGAAGCTTCCAGCATTACAAAGTTCAGACTTGAGCCACTTATATAATCAAAGAAAGGGGAAGGATACTTTATGTGCCCTTTGGAGCACTCCAAAAACTAGGCATCTAGCAATCTTATCTGGCACCTTCCTAAAAGCAGAATGGATCCACTGCACACGACTTGGTTCCAATACACAGAACATGCACAAACACGCACACATGTGTAGGCAGACACACCCCAGCAGAAGCAATGGGAGCCCACAGCATGCCGCGGCACCCAGAGGCACAAACCACGGCCTTCTATAACTGTTCTCAGTATTCTTTAAATGTCCATCAGCTGCATAGCTTCTCAGTGGCTACCCATTATGATTAAAAACAAACCAGCAAAACAATAACATCAAAAAAATAATGTTTTTTTTTTAAGAAAAGAGAAGGCAAAGAGCTTTAAAATAATCTTTTTGTAAAGAACTGTTAGAGGAATTCAGGAGATTCTTTAGTGGCCTTTTAACAATAGCTGGCGTAAGGTCTATATGGTATTGCTAAATCATATTTCATAGAAAAAGGGAAATTTAATTTTTACAATTCCTGTATTTCTTATATTAATTCAAGCTCCTAAAACCATTTCTGCCAAACTTAACTCTAGTCAAAGCACAAGTTTCCAAATTATATTTAATAAAATGAACAAAAGAAAATCAAAGTTTCCAAAAGCTTATGCATTAAGATCATTTCTTATATATGAATGTGAAATTACAATTACTTACTGGTATAATTTGAAAGTGCTTTATTTTTTGTCCATGACTCATTGACAGAACGAAAGTTTTAGGGTTACTCTGACTATCCCGTACCAAGAAAACTCTAAGGAGAAAGAAGGAATTTAGTATGTTTTCTACATTTACTTATGGATTTCACAGACAGCATGTAACAAATCCAGGAGGTATATTCATGAATGTGGTAGCCAGGGATTCTTTTACTCTATATCCCGTGTACCAGCAGGACTATCCATTTGACAACAACATGTTATAACAAAACCTTTGCTATAAAACTATCATCAGTGCTAATGTAATTTTGATAGGATAAATATATAGCTCATTTGTCAACTGTTTGTTTGCAATAACCAATATAATGTTAGTTGGCATCAATAATTACTACTATGTACTTTTTCCATTGGGAAATTGGGTATTACCATGTAACATTTTATTATGAAGAATAACACAGAATTATGTTATATTTTAACTATGTGTCATGAGAGACCCCTGAAAAGAGGTAATTATTTAGAATGAAATCATTTTTACCCCCACTTCTACACTGGATCCAGTTTCTTTTTTGATTTGTTTCTACTATCACATACATAACAGAAAATAAGAGATGAATGTATTATAAACATAACCTCTAAATTACTTAGGAAATGCACACGAAATGCTTTAAGTAAGAGAAGCACTCCGAAACATGCATTTTAACCCTGAAGGACACAGCAAAAAAAAGCTTCTACAGCATCACACTAGAAAAGTAAGATTGACCCGACAGCCAAAGGAAGGAAGGCTGCTGGGCATGTAGTCTTATTTATTGGAAAGAAACCATTTTGTATTAATTATTGATTGGCAAACACTCCGGTAATAGTACCCACTGGTGACTCGAATATGAACCTCACCGCGCCTGGGCGGAGGCCGCTAGATCCAAGGCTTCACAAACACCTGACCAGATTATTCATTGCGTTTGTGCTGTGTGAGACTGAGACACTGTATCACTGTGTGGGGGACAAAAGCGTGCTTTACTGGCAAACTAAGCTGTGAATTCTTCTCCCCTTCCCAAGAAGAGCTCCACCACCACCTAGTGGAGCACTTGGCACCGTCACAGCTTTCCAAAGAAACACAGAAAAAAATGAAGAGGCGGTCACTATATGAGTATTTTGTTCAGTTAGTTTACAAATACTGAGATCAGAAGTAATGGAAATCCTAATACTCCAAAATATTTAAATAATTTTTCGAGGTTTATACTTTTTTAGACTCACCAGTCAGTAACTCTGATTACTCAAATATATATCCAAAAAGACTTACGATCCGTGCATACAAAATCTTAGAGTCAGTGAAATGCTAAGTCACTATTAATAATCATCTGTGTGAAGATGAATTTTTATCTAAATGTCAACATGAAATCAGCTCAAATCCTTGTCATCATTTTATGCCAAGATTTAAAGATAACCCATCTCCATTTTTGTTTAAGTTGAAACTGGTTTAATTTTTCATCCAAACCTCTGTACTCTCATTTGTACTCCATTTGGGAAGGGAATTTAGCCAGTGTTATAAACAGCAGCTATACAATACTGAATAACTTAAGAGAAAAATCCTTTGGAATGATAACTCTTTCATAATACATTTTGTAATTTTCTGTGCATTCTATGGTATCACAATAAAAGATAATAGGAAAAATTACCAAAAACTACTTATGTTTTCATAGGATCAAATTATTTTCAGCAGCTAAAGTTTAGAGAAAAAGCAAAAGGAACATAAATGAATGGAAAAAAGTAAATAAATATTCAAAATATATAAGAAAAGGGCCGGCCTGATAGCTCAGTAGACTAAAGCACCTGCTTAGGCAGAGCGCAGCAGCCAGGGTTCAATTCCCGCATGCCATGCCCGCCCGCCCACGGGGTGCACTGAGACGGCAACTGAGACTGGGCATGGTGGCGTGCACTTGCACTTCCAGCACATGGGAGGCTAAAAACTGGAGCATCACTACAAGTTGGATCTATGTAGTGAGACCCTGTAGACCCTGTCCTAAATACAGGAAAAAAAAAAAAAAAAAAAGAAAAAGCAGTGACATAATGCATCCTACATTATACCTTACAAAGTATAACATGTATAACCTCATGATACAAATCAGATTTTTGAATCATATTAATTATACATTCAAATTAAAAAAGTAATACCCAAACTAGTTTAATTTCTTTCCTTCATGAATATTCCAGATGCTAGACTTGGCATAAAACAGGTATTAGTCCACATTGGTTAAAAACAAACTTACACAAAAATACCAAGCGTACACTGTATACCAGGCATTATACAGACACTGCTACAATAGGACAACCACAATTACAGAACAAAGCTACTCTATGAGAAGCTGAAACTAAAAGTTCTTAGTATACTGACTGATTTTGTCGACAGGAGAAATCCAAATCACTACCACCCAAAACTAAAAACATCAAACTCACCCATCCACGAGTCCTTGCTGAATAATCAGCCTCTGAGCCTCATCTCTAGAAATTCTGTGGTGAAACCATGGCTGAGCCCGATGGATAGCTGAAGACAGAGATGAGTTAAGACACAGGCTTGTTTGCAATGATCACAGATTCCCTGCGTGCAGTCGTGCCTGGGGCACCTAGCGACTGCAGCCAGGCCGGCCACCTGCCCCCAACCCCGAGCAGCGGCTGCACACACATACCCAGGCTCGCGGCAGAGCTCTGTGCCGAGGCCGTGGGGCTACCGTGAATGCCCAGGCGTAAGCATCCTTTCTTCTGAGGAAGGAAGAGAAAAACAAATCTCAACCGTTTGGGTAAAACAAACTGAATTCATAAATATTTTTAAAGTGAAAGTATTAATACCCTCCAAGCAAGTCCTTCTTCAACAGCAACCGAAAGGGCTTCAGTGGGATTCTCTATAACTCTGCTTTTCTGACCTGAGAAGTCCATCGCTACCAGGGAATTCTCTGATATACTTCTCTAAAAAAAAAAAAAATACACATCAGTTTGAACTATGAAATACTACTGCAAGTTACTTTTCAGCACTGTGCTAGAATGTTTTCATTCTAGACTAGGAATCCAATAGTGGCTGTCAAGAGACTTAAGCAGTTGAAATATACATTCAAGATTAAATGACAATATAAAATACTTTAGTTAGGTATGGTTATTTGTTAAGACAAATGAATTAAGTGCTGAATAAAAATATGAAAACATTGAGCAGAAGCACGTATTTTCCTAAAACAAACCTTTCTTTTCATATTCTTGGGTAAAACAGCTAAACTCTTCCCTGAGAAAGAAGTCACTCTTTCTATGGTTAAAAGGATGCCTTGCTTCTGATTAAACCTTCAGATTTATCAATTAACTATTAAATATCAAATCCACCTACTGGTAAAGAAGCTATTTTATGAGATGTAAGATCCAGAAGAGCTGTAACTTAGATCAACTATGTCTCCGTAGAAAGACTGCTTATGTTTATAATGGAGCAAACTAGAATATGTTATTTATAAGTCTATAATTTAGCAGAATAATAATTAGGAGAATTCAACCTTCAAATTCCCACAGTTTCATGTATGAGCACCTGTTTTCATGTAACAATGACACACACACATGGGCAAAGGAATACTGAAAAATTAAATCTGAATGACAGAACTGATACCAAAAAAAAAAGGCATCTCTACAGAAGCAAAATCTTAACATTGTTTTTGCTAATTGATATTCCTCCTTACCTTTGTTCTTCTTCTTTTCTTTTTCCTCTCTCCTTTTAATACTGGGGATTGAACCCAGGGCCTTGTCACTGAGCTACATTCTCAGCCTTCTGTAGTTTTTATTTTGGGTCAGGGTCTTGCTTACTCGCTAATTTGAACTTGGGATCCTCCTGCGTCAACCTCCTAGGGTGGTGGGATTTCAGGCATGAGCCACCACACCTGGCTACTAATTACTTCTGCTATGAACATGATGTAAGGTGAAGGTAAAATATCTAACATTTGAATTTTATTTTTCTTTTCTTGAGGTTCTGCTTCATAATCATCATCTAAAAATTCTGTCCACAAGAAGTCACAAATCCTAAAGAGACCAACTGTCAAAAAACCTAGTCAAGTTTATCATTAATTTTATACAATAAGAAGTTAAAATTCCTCCCAAAAGATTGAAATGAAAAATATTTAACATTCTCCATTAATTAACAGAAAAGCAAAAGCAAACATTGAGTACTATTTTTACTCAATAGGAAAATGAATTAAAATTCTCCAAAAGAAAAAAAAATGAAAATGGAAAATATTTGTTATTCTCCATCTCTGAATAGAACAGCAAAACCAGAAGTAGAATGGTAAGGTGTGTATGAGCCACCTCACATCTGACAGGTCACAGCTTTCACAGTTCTATGTCTGGCCCTCAATGAGGGTTCAGCCATGTCTCATTTGTTTGAAGAGACTAGTCAATGTGGGCTTCAAACCTTACCCACAAGAAAATATTTAGCATTTCTTTATCATTGAATTACACACCCCAATTTCGTAGTATCTATTTCTCTTGAAACAACACATTAGTGATGCACAATTTTATTATGTTTCATTTACATTTCCAGAGATCTGGCATGCAATCTTCCGTCTGTTACAGGTAGGTTATAATTGACAGCTGTTCTTTCCACACAGATGCTGTCTTAGTATCTCTACTGTCACAGAGTATGACCTTAGTCTGCCCTTCTCACCCCATGGTCTTCTGTGCTGGGCTGTGGCCACTTGGATGTACTTCCCTTCACCACCTTTAATGAGAAGTGTCCACCTGCCCAAGCCACAGGGTAGCCTCGATTTTAATGATAGTTTCATCCTTATAAATATCCCTTCCTTCACAAGCCTAGACTGGATCTGTAATCTCAAACTTCAGATAACATAAAAGCACCATTGGAAAAAGTAAACATAATCTGTTCGGTTTTGGTTATTTTTTGTTTGTTAGTTTGTTTGTTTTACAGGGCAGGGCAGAATGTAAAGGCAAGATCCCATGTTCCATAATTACTTGAGAAATGTAGGGTAATTAGAAGATAAACAAGAATTTTTTATCTGCTGTATTAACCACATTAAAAACAAGGAGAAGGAGAAACAAGGAATACAGTAAATGTTTTTGACTGAATGGCAGGTGGCACATGAAAAATTAATAGTTTACCTTTGGTGGACAAAGGAAAGGAAGCAGAGTATGACAAATTTAAATGGTCATTTCTAGTTTAATTCCTTTTACATAAGAAAGCAATGTTGATAACATTCAAAATTAGTCATACTTCTCAAATATTCATGCCTAGCTTTTTCTTCTTAGAGAATAAACAAGGTAGGTCCTAAGAAAATGGTCTGTGATTTTAATGGCATGGCTCTCTAAAGAACAGCAGGCCTAAGTAAACCCTGGGTTATCCAAACCATGCTTTGAGATCAGATCCATCCACTTCACTGTAGTGAGGTGGGCAAGTAAAATGTTTTCCCGGCAATTTAGCTACACAGCAACTAGTAGTCACATGGTGATTATGTGACCATATTGTTACACAGGACACCAATGACTAGCCCAAGGCCACACCAAGTGATTATGATAAAAGCACCAATATGTCCTGTCTAGTATTTTTCTGTGTAAGAAACTTCAGTTTAGAATGTCTAGCCCAAGACCAAACATGAATAGTGAAAACTTGAGATGGGCAGTGGCAGAGTAAACTCTAGTAGCATATCACAGTATCTCTAAGACTTGAGATCACAATAACTTGGAAAACAACAACAACTTAGCAAACAGAAAACTCCAGAAACAAAACAAAACAATACAAAAAAGCAACAGGAACACTAAAATCTATAATCAATACCACCCAAAAGAAGAAGCTGCCTGGAAGGCTGAGCCCAACTTGTGGGGTGGGGAGCCTGCCTCCCAAACACAAAGTGAGCATGGAGAGGGTCAGCAGCCCCAGAGACGGGCCAGCAGTGCTGTCACCAAGAAAAGTGCAGAGTCACTGGTAACTGGAAGTACAGTGCAGGACTTCACTCTGCAAGTGGTTCCTTGTGCGCAGCAGGCTGGAGTTGGAGAAGAAATGCATTGCAGCAGTTGCTATCTATTTGGGAGTGATTAATCAGGAGCACATTTGAGAAAGAATGTAAGACTGAACTACTCTATGAACCAAAGCCTATGGTACAACTATACTTCAGGGTCCTCGGGTCACCCTACCAAAGTAACGGGCTGCTGAACAGCCCCAGGAGTCAGCTGCAGAGAGCTGAGCTAGTGAGAAGCTCCTTATGAAGCACATTTAGGGAGCAGCAGACAGGGCAGGCAGACATGAAGGTCCCATCCACTGTGTGAGAAGCCATGAACTGCGTATCCAAAAGGGATACCTCTGGAAGTTCTGGCTCTAGATCCAACAGACTACCTGACCACTACCCTCTGAGAAAATAAACTCAGCGATAGAATTCTCTAACATTTAAGCACATTCTGCCAGCTTGAATCATTGGTGGCACACCCATGACTGTCCCATCAGGCCACGTGAATCACTGGTGGCTAGCTATCCAACATCAGACAATGGAATTTCAAATCAGAGTTGCCAGGAAGCAAGGCATGCAAACTACCACTCCATCGTGAACGTGTTAAAGTACTAACTCTCCAGGCCAACAGTTTCAACTTCCCAAAAGACACAACTGGCAAACTGAATCAGAAAAATGATGTACAAGTATACGCTGCCTACAGGAGACATACTTTATCTAAAAGAAAGCTCAGAGACTAAAGATTAAAAGACAGAAAATGGTACTCCATGCAACTGAGATTCTACCACACTCCAGAAAGATTGGCTGTCATTAAGAGACTGATGGATGGGGGCCTGCCCCTTAGCTCAGTTCTTTAAGTGACTGCTTCAACAAAGCTGTCAGGCTCAGGTTGCTGTGGTTCGAGCCCCACAACTCAACCCAGCCAAACCTGCCCTGAAGCCATTCGGAGCAAAAAAAAAAGAGAGAGAGACTGATGGAGTGGGGAAGGAGGCATGAAGGAAAAAGAACTGGGGTGTGTTACCTACATGGACCAATGCCACACAAGGAACATGAACATTATGTGCCATACACATGCACACAAAAAAGGAAGAGGCTCAAGGGATGGGTGCGAGAGAGGCAGGGAGGGAAAGGGGATGATTAAAAAAAAATGAAGCTGTGTTATGCACATGTACAAATTTCCCAGAAAGAATGTAAACATGTACTACATACATGTATTAATAAATTAATTTCAAAAGGAAATTTTTAAGAATGCTGGAGAAGCTACAGGTAAATGGAACCATTCCACAGTTTTGGTAGGAATATAAGCTAATAGTATGTGCAATATAAGCTTAGGATTAGTAAGGAGATGCCTCAAAAAAATTCCATTTGAACTAATGATTCCCCTTCTGGGTATCTTCCCAAAAGAGTTAAAGATATTATATGGCTCATGCTGCGCAATGGGATTGTCCCATGGTGCCCAATAGGACAGTGCTGCCAAGTACACTGGTGGGCAGAGCTGCCTGGCAGGCAGACACACAAGTGATAGCCTGCTGAGAATGTGTCACGAATAGTGCAGATGAAGAGTCCAGTGGTTTTCTCTCTGAGCATAACAAATGCCGGGCAGGTCCTTCCCACACAGGCTCCTAAATCCCTCTCCACAGGATCACTCAGGGAGTGCATCTTCCGGTACGGTACGTGGTATTGACAAATTAAGCCACAGTACCCAAACACTTAACGCAACTTTGTCAACACCAGGACCACTTTCAACAAGAAAAATGTGAGAGCAACATTGTATCTGTATGCTAATGACAGAAATGAGAATGGGAAATATTTGTTTATAGCAGGTTTTTCTATGGTTAAAAGAATATTAAATAACTATTGCTTCGCTACTATTAACTTGTTCATCCTAATAACTTCAGACTCTAAAAGAAATCTGAAGGATTTCGGACAGGATTTAAAGTAATCAAATCTATTACTCTTTTTAATGTATAGATTGATGGATAAGAGTAAGCTGACAAACTGTAAAAATATTCACCTTACAGATATTGCTTTTATAAAAACTCATTCCATTCTAAGGTTCTTATTTTAGGGCTTGAGAGTAACATGATACAAAGATGGAAAGCCATTCTTGCATAATTTAAGGCAACATAACTAGAGAACTGGAGCTCTTTTTCTACCTAGTCTACCAGGCTTCATGACATTTTTTCATGACTCATTCTTAGAACTGAGCATTGTACCTGCTGCACATTACATGTGTGTAAAAGCACCTTCTTTGGTCACTGCTATGAAGAACATTATTTTTTTAATCTGCTGAGCTATCTGGACAGCCAAGCAATGCATTTTTAACCTAAGTAGAAATATAAGTTTCAAAAATACACATTAATTCATTTGTAACACAGGCACATACATATGAATTTCTAATCCACTCAATATTAAAGAGTATATCAAAAATAGCAGAACATTAAGTTCAGAAACAATTTCTTAGGGCCCCGTGGGTGGGGCCAGTGAGACAGCTCAGTGGACTAAGCGACTGCTTGGGCAAGCGAAGGCACCAGGGTTCTCTCTCCAGCACCACAAGCCACACCTGCCCCAGCCCTGGGTGTGCTAAGTTGGCAACCACTGAGACCGGGTATGGTGGCACATGCGTGTAATCTCAGCCAAAGGCAGGCTGAAAACAGGAGGGTCACTATGAGTCTGAGCTATGTAGTGAGATCCTGTACCAAATATATTAAAAAAGTAATTTCTTGTGTCAGTGCACAGAAAATTAAAATTAGCACATAAAGAAATAAAAAGTGTGTCTGCATGTGTGTGCAAATAACTATCCAAGTTACACTTAGTAAAAATCTGAGAAGCAGTGCAAGCGTTAACATGCTATATGACCTACATTACAGTTTGCTGCTTTTAGGTTTCCTAAAAACCTACCTGCTTTTTAAGGACCCAGAACTTTTAAAAAGAATTACTGTTCTAAAATTGAGAAAGAATTCAAATGTTTTTAAATGCATTTTTAAAAATTCCAAATCACTGTATCTTCATTATATGTTGTGATGACCCCAAATCAATAGCAAAACAAATAAGCCAGGTGTGGTGGCACGTGCTGTGATTCCAGGGCTCGGGAGGCTGAGACAAGAGGACTGCCACAAGTTCAGGGTCACTCGTGGCTACACAGCGACTTCAAGGCCAGCCTGGGCTACATAGCAAGATTCTGTCTCACACAGATAGGTAGACTGATAGACAGATACAGATACACAGACAGACAGGTGGATAGAATAGACAAATAAGCAAGCACAACACCTAAGAAAAATGTTCTAATATTATTAACATTGAATCCATGCTGCTGACATAGCTCAGCAGAAGAGTGCTTGCCTAGCATGTTCGAAACCCCGAGTTCAATCCCCAGTATTGGGAAAAACAAAGATTCAATCCGCAAATGATTTAATGACGCAGGATCACTCACATAATTCTAAAATAGAAAAACATGTCATCAACATAAAAGACACTGTATGTTAATTCAGTACTTCACACACTACTATGCCTTCTATTATATAGGCTCAGTAACATAAAATCTAAATTCAATACAACATTATAGAACCTGTTTTATTTTATTTGACCAAAAGGAAATAGTAAACATGTTATAGTACATAAGGATAATATATAAGAAATAAATATAATCTCAACATGAAACATGAGTCCCCAAACTCAGTCCTTACCATAGGCGATACACTCTGAGAGGTGCAGCCACTTCTTCCCTGGTACGGATGCATGTAATTCTGGTACAGCTGCATGCCATACTGCAGAATAAAAAAATATGAACATATTTTGATGACTTTTAGAGGACTGATGATTCATGAAAATAAACATTTTCATTACCTATATCTTATCAATATAAAAAAGAACTGCAGGATTTTGTTTTAAGGACTTTCCTTAAAACAAGTAAGTAAAGGAAGTCATTTTTTCAAAGAAAAACTTTGAGTGCTTTTCACGGATGCATTCAGAAAGACAATGTGTTTTGTGTGGCCCAGCACCTCACCAGTACAGTCAGGGCGCTAACATTTCTATTCAGTATACTTACCACTAAACGCTACACCCACTTTACCTTGTGATAAAGCCTCATTTAGGGAAAGGGCCTTGCTTTACGTACAAAGATTATGAAAAACCTAAATATATTCTAAGCCACACTGCATAAAATTCCCTGTTGTTCTAATGACTGATTTGTGTCTCTTTGATAAATTTCTAAATTTAATCTATGTAGAAAATGCCTGCCACCAGTCTCCTTGTGTAAGTCCTCTGTGGCATTGACTTTTGGCTTCAAATCCAAGGAAACCAAAGTCATGAGGAAGCAAAGTGACTTCACGACAGAGTTTCAAACTACAAGGGGAACGGTAGTGGACGAGAATCCAGCTCAAAGACTGGGCAGGACATTCACGATGGGGACACAGGTCTGGATTTTAAATAGATTATTAACTTGAGAAATATAAGAATGCCCGCTGCCATAGGCAAATTTTCCCTGGGGTAGAAGTTGCTTCCTTAGATTTAAGGTTGTTTCAAAAGAAAACAGTAGGGCCAACAAGACAGCTCAGCGAACTAATCGCCTGCTTAGGCAAGTGCAGGGACCAGGGTTCGATCCCTGGGACCACATGCCACTCCAGCCTCATCCCCAGGTGCACTGAGCCAGCCACCAAGTCCTGGAGTGGTTGTACATGCCTGTAATCCCAGTGCTGGGGAGGCTGAAAATAGGAGGATCACTATGAGTCCAAGCTGTGTAGTGAGACTCTGTACAAATTAAATTTTAAAAAAATAATAATAAAGTAGGATAGACTTTTTGCCATACATTCTACATTTAATGAACTTAATTAGGCCTCAGTGACCCTTCTCCATATTTTATTCTCTACTTCCACATCTTGCCTGGAACCAGCTTTTGGTGTGACAGTCACTGTGCTCCATTGCTGCAAGGTCCCCACAGCACCTGACCAGCATGATGGGTCCCAAAAGCAACCCAGGCAGAACAGTGGTGGCAGGCAAAGAAGGGCAGCATGGCAGTTTTGGCAAAGCAGAATACTCCACGTGGGACCTGAACAACTCCTGATTGTACCAGCTATAAAAGATGAATGACCTCAACACCTGTCACCAGAAGCCACTATAGTCCAACCAGAAAACAAGCACAGGAGTTTGGTGGCAGCTCTAAGAAGCCTCAGTGATGTGATCCACTGGGATGTGCCATCCACGGCCAGGCCACACCACTACGTCCTTGGACCAGGCTCTGGCCTAGACACTCACTGCCTGGCTCAGATACCTTCTCAAAGGCCAACCTCAGGTCACTCTTCTGGTACTCTTTTTGGCCCGTTTAGGTAAGTACTCATCACCCTGTATCTACTTCCAGAGCTAGGGCTGGGCCTGGGACCGACCTGTCTTCCTATACAACTCCTGAGTAACACCTACACTGTCTAGGCCTTGAATATCCACAATAAAAGGGTTTCCTACATCCAAAGGAAAAAAAAAAAAGTTAGGTCGTATATAAAAGAGTTTGAATGACACCATGGAATCAAATCTTCTCATAGGATGAATTTCATTTAAACATTCCAACAGAGCTGATTCTTTACTAAAGACTTATTTCCTTAAAAGCAATTCTGGCAAAGTGGATATATTTGGTAATTAGGCAAAAAAATCAGAGGGAGGTTAGGGGAGTCACTGTTTTCAAGATTTTGCTTTTAACATGAATACAAACCCACAGTCGCTTAAAATTCTCTGTGGTGACTTCTTTATCCAATTATTTCCCAACTTCTAAAAATTATTTTTTTAATTTAAGGTTTGATTGACATTAATGGGATGTAATGAAATTTACTTTAAATCAACTCTAAGCCTACCATAACTTTAAAAAGAAGACAGAGGAGATTAATTCCTAGTCAAGTTCATTTTGGAGAACAGATAATAACCTCAAACCAGCACTTTCAAAAGGAATACCCTGCTTGGCCACCTCTTATTTATCTGTATTGAAAAGGCTGCTACCTACTAATAAGACTGTTTTCTTCAAAGATGTATTGTCCCTGGTACCTGCAGTGTTAGGCAGTTGCCTCTGTGCTGCTGGACATCTTTAGTAGGCATTTAACTCTGGCCAAGGGGTAGAGCATGGGTCAGCTTAACATTCCCCTGTCCTACGGAGGGGCAGGTAACAGACCACAGTACTTTGGAGAGGTTGGAAGAGTTCTAATTGAAGAGAAATGGAAAAGATAGCACGAAACTAAAACACTGTACATGAGCCAATCTCCCATTTTCTAAGTCCCAGATTTCCTATAATTCTGTGTGAAACTAGAATTTACCCAAAGAGAAAGAGCATCACCTATATTGTCTACATAAAGAGCTTATATATGCATATGAAAAAGAAATGGAACTGAGAGTGAAATAAGAGGCTAACATCCTGATGGGAGGTTGTACCTACATCTTTTGGGAGCATGTCATGACAATAAGAGCACTTCCAGAGCAGCCAACAGAATATATACAGTCTCACGCTACGCCCCACTAAGCACAATAAAAGACACTGGCAACAACATCCTAGACAACCACAGCAGACCAGCCGGGGATGACAGAGACACCAGACGAGTTCAGCTGCAGGAGGATGGGGACCAAACAGGAGGCCCACAGGCAGCGAGCAGCTGGGGGCAGGCCTCCCGTGTGTGTGCACTGTAAGTGATACAATATCTGGACCTAAGAATCCTGTCATCATTTTGCTGCCATCACTTTATCTTTCTAGTGCTATAAAAAAGAATGGTGCATCCTAGTAAACTCAACAGCACCTGAGGTTCACTGAATACTGGTTAGAATGAAGTAGGCTTAACTACCTGTTTCACTGTTGAGTGACTAAACTGGAGCCCAAATTAAAAGGGAGGAAGGGCCGGCCAGATAGTTCAGAGGACTACAGTGCCTGCTTAAGGCCGAGCTCAGTGGCCAGGTTTGATTCCCAGCCTGCCGTGCCGGCCCCACCCACAGGGTGTGCTGACACAGCAATTGAGACTGGGGTGTTGGTGCACACCTACAATCCCAGTGCTTGGGAGGCTGAAAACAGGAGAATCACTATGAGTCCGATCTATGTAGTGAGACCCTGTAGACCCTGTCCTAAAATAGAAAAAACAAAACAAAAAGAAAGAAAAAAGAAAAAAAGAAAGAAAGAAAAGAAAAAAGAAAAAGAAAGAAGGGAGGATTTGATAGCAATATTAGAAAGCATGTTCTCTACCAGTCCACTCTGATTTCCAAGGTTTTCATGACCAGAGAAAAATAATACCTGTAGGTGTTTCTCCACAGGCTGCTGAGAGGAGGGCTGCACATAGGCTTCAGCAGATAGGAAACATGGAATTCACTAACTCAGCACCCCCAAAGAAGGATAGCGCAGAGTAGCTTCAAAACGCTTGTCAGTTAAGTCCATGTTATAGTCCTACCTCTCTAATAACTAATCTTTTAACTGATCAGTTAAGAAGACTCTCTGAATGTTCTATGTCTCACTTTCCTGTGCTCCCCTCCCATGTCCTGTCTTCCCTTTCTTCTCCCCACCCCTCCCCCAGTAACAGGAGGAACACTGAAGCTGCATTTGCCCCTAGAGTTTTAAAAGTACTGCAACTTCTATACTTACTTGAAATGAAAGCCATGCTGGTCATTTTAACAACAGATAAATCTCTCAAAGAAGTAGTAATGTGGCTATGTACCAAAAGTCACAGGAAATTAATTGCAAAGATAACCCAAAAGATTTATTTAAATAATTTTTAAAAAACCATTTCTTCTAATACCTGTTTGTTTGTTTGTTTGTTTGTTTTACCTGCTAGGATAACTGTTGGTGTTTTTTTTTTTTTTTTTTTTTTTTTTAAAGGAAAACATCAAGTTTGTGAAAAATTCAAATTCTTATATATTGCAAGTAGGAATGAAGACATGGCTCAGTCACTATGGAAAACATTTCTGTAATAACTACAAATATTAAAATAGAACTGACATATGACCAGAAATTTTAGATATGTATCCCCCAAAATGAAAATACAGTACTTAAAAAATATTTATACATGTGTGGTCACAGCAAGTCGACATAAAATAGCCAAAGGTGTAAACAACCTAAATATCTATCAATGGATAAAGGGAGAAATACATTGTTTATCAAAAGTAAGTATATGTATGATGAAATATGATACATCCATAAAAAGAAATGAAGAGCTGATATAAAATATAATGTGAACTACAAAACATTAAGCTAAGTGAAAGTCATATACAAAAGGTTATATATTGTATGGCTCCATTTATATTAAATAGCCACAATAGGTAAATTCATAGACAGAATGCAAACTGGCAGCTGCTAGGGCCTGAAGTAACTGCCTAATGGGTAGGGAATTTCCTCTTGAAATGATGAAAATGTTTTGGTACAAGATGGATGTGATGGTCATCAAACACTGGTCACACTAGATCTCATAAATTGTTCATGAGATTAAAAACGGTTCATTTGGTTAATTTTATATTGTGAATTTTACCTCAATATAACAAAATTTTAAAATACAAAATAAAATTTTCCTCTAAACATAGAATGAAAACTAAACTAATTATAATAATTCTGCCCTTCCTTACATAGATCTCTCTTTAGTAAGTTGTTAACAAAATATAAAGTGGTAAAATGGCAATGGCAGAAGTAAAACTATGGACCTACAGAATTCACAAATGAATAAAGAGATATACTGCACAGTCCTTACTTCCCCTTCTTTGGCCTTAATGAAATGGTAGAACTCAAGAATTTCACAAGATCTTGTTGCTTAGATTTTTAATT